TTGATGATGATGATGATGATGATACTTTGTGTTTGGTTCCACGTACCCAACGTCAATCGTCCGTCTGGCTGTCCATTTCGTTAATACTCCACACCTTTTTTTCAGAACGGAGATACACCGTTTTATTCAAAGTTACAAACCAGAAAGTGTTGCTTCCATCAGCTCAGTTCTGGATGATCTTCGTGGACGATACTCACGAACGTATGTGATTTTGCCCATTAGGTTCGCCATTTTATTAAACCTGCTTGCTGTATAGTAGAGTTCCTAGTCTTTCACTCAAATTGTATTTTATTCAAACGTATGCAGAAATATATGGACTAGACTTTTTTGGTTTCCTTCGGTCGACGCGAGCATTTATTCAGTTGGTATTGAATCAACGCAGCTTAAAAAAATACTGCTGCAATCCCGGTGATTTGTGCCTGAAATGAGTACCCATCCACAGCATTAATATCTGGTTTGGACAAAATATGGTGTTTATGAAATTTTGAGTGTTCCCTCTTCATCTTCTGCTCATACTCCGTGAACGGAATGGGAAGCTGGAACAAACACACTTGAGACAAGATTTATGGTCGGAGTCACCTAGGCACTTGCTTGCCAGATACCCACTGTTCCTATGGTTCCCGTTTATACGTTTCACATAGTATTGAGATATCCAACAAAGTTTCTCCTAGTTTTCGGAGTGCGCCTTTACCCCCCATGCCTGACTACAAATATTAATACAATTATATAAACTCTTTCCACAGGGTAACAGTCATGTTGCGACTCCAACCTTCTAGCGACTACTGTGCCTCAGGTTCTCTTCGACGCCGTGCTTCACAGTTCGGTGCTGCACTCGCCTCGATGCTGTCACCAACTTTGAATCACTCTTCTCTTAGACAAACTTCCCACTTGTCTGTCGTGGATGTCTCGGCTGATAGTGAACGTCTGCCCATAAAGGTGCTGTATTCAGTGCATCAGGTTTATCGAGAATAGGTGCCCGCATGATTCCGCTTAGGTGCTGCATGTTCGTATGCTTTGATTATCCACTTTGTATTAGCGCCGATTTTCGCGAACGTTGCACGGGAGTTGCTCAGTCAGTGCGTAGTTTAACTGTTCATTTGTGTTTCCTCTAGATGAATCCTGAATACTTGTTCGTTTTGTTTTCAACCACGCATGTTGATGCTTGTCACTGCGTCACGGTCAAATGGGTGTTATCGTTCCATACTCTGGTCGTACTCATGCCTTTTGTGTCTTTTTTTGTTTCATTGTGAAATGGAGATGAGGTGCGTAATCAATGAAAACTGTCAACAAATATGCAGTCATTAGTGTGACAAGATGGCTCATTGGTTAAGGTGCAAGCCTACGGACCTGCTCCCTTGTAGGCTTGGACAACCTAGCAGTATCCCAGCCCTCGTGCTTCCTTCGGGGGTATGGCAGTTAGGCCCTGGAAGGGCGCTACAGCTGAGCGTGTCTATTATTCACCCGTGGTGTCATTTGATCTCATAGTTACTGGTCGAGTGTAGTTCGCTCGAGCGACCGACTTTAGGTTGCTGATGGGCGGTCAGTTTTATGATTACTGAACAGCATTCAGCATACATTCGTTGGGTTCCCACAAACATAAAGCAGAATTTATCACCTCAGCTTTCGCTGTTGAAAATTTATGAAGGAACACCGGCTTTTTTGCTGGTTTTTACTGACTGGACTGTTGTTGCTGTTATTTGTAAGTAGTAGTGTCCTGGAGTCACCAACTTTATGCAATGAACTAGAACATCGATGGAAAGTGCTACCTAAATAAAACCTATGGAGTTATGGTTGTATTCACCAGTATAACCACTGAGTTCTGGTAACCTGTCCGAACTCAGTAGTTTCCTTATAAAATATGCTCTTGATTGGTGGGTTGCTTAAAGGCCATGTGTCTGAATATCTTGCAGTATCATTTGAATGCATACCCTAGTTTTCTAGAAAATAAGAAGTTCACCGGTATCTCGAGACCGTTGGGTTTTAGTTAACCGCGTAAACTTTCTCTTGAAAATGTCTCGTTTGGACATACTGAACTTGTGGTGAACCATGATGCAATCTATTGCTTGTAGTTGGAGTAACCAACATTCCCCGTGTGACCTCAGCTTCGGGATTGTCTAGGTAATTAGGCTCCGTTGAACGTGGCCTAATGTGCCCCTACCTAGAAATCAGAGGGCATTGCACAGCCACATCATCTGTATCAGTAATGCTCACCTGTGCTTGAAACTCACGAACCCTGGACAAGACCTGAGCAGGCACTTTTTGACATGATGTATGAACATCATTCATCTCCAATCCAATTCCTCGGGCGTTACTTCCTACGTACTACAGGTGGCTACAAACTTTTCAACAGTTATCTGAATTTTCATTAAGGCATCCTCATGGAAACCTCAATCCCTACTTTTGTGTACATCCGTTTGCAGTGTAAATTCTAACCATCGAACAAAACTTGTCATGATTACCGTAGTGTGATTGTATGCGTAGTGTACGCAGTGCAGTTGTGTTCCTGATTTCCATCCCTCCTTATGTCTTCTTTTCCTCGTTGGCATTGTTCCCATCAGATGTGCATGTCTGCTTCAGATACCCGATGAGCGTCGATTGGGGAATTCACGGAATGTGAGTGACCTGCGCTGTTTGTTGTTGCTTAATTGCTCTATCCAACAAGAACGTTTGTCGATGGAGTTTGTCACCCCATGCTCTTATTAAAATCGGTCGTACGTTATTTTTGCTGTTTTCCCAACAGGTTGATGCAAAAGAACGTGCAGCGCTGAAGTCACTGTGGCACGTAAGTGACATTCATACCTCGATATAGACAGGCAAGTCCGGTTACAATGGATCTCTTCTGTTGGGGAATCTCGTGAAGAGAACCGAAATATGTCCAACTGAGCGGTGTTCGTCCCATATGTATATGCACCCAAGATATTCGTTTTTATCCCTAAACCAGGACAGGAGAAAAGTCCTTTGTTTTTATGTGCATTTGAAATGGTCTTCTCTTCAGCTAAATTATCGCGCTGTTATCCTGTATATTAAACATTGGCTTCCGCTAGTTTGATCGCCCCTAAATCACTAGGGTAGCTATTCTACCTTTATCTAGCTTGGTGCTAGATTGGTCAATATTATCACTTAGCCAACTGTTTTGGTTGTCCTTAGGAATTCAACTCCGGTTTCAACACGCTGGTGCGCCAACACTCAAGCGTCTCCATCCCCGATCGAGAGCTGCGTGACTGTCTGGAGCGTCAGCTGATTGCTGACTTGATCCCGGCGTACAGCCAATTTTGGTCCCGCTCCATGAATGTTGCGTTCACTTCGCATCGGGATAAGTACATGCGAATGACTGTGGAGGAGTTTGAAAGTCGTCTGAAGCGGTTGTTTGTTCCATCCTCTGGCCGGTGAACTCTCCATTCAGTCCGTTACCGAAACTGTGAACGTGCTTTCAAGAACTGTCATTCTTACAGCTAATCTTCTTTTGCCCCTTGACTCACTGCTTATTTTTAACTTTTGCGCAGAAATACACTCATGCTTCCCAAGTCGTCCTTTTTCTGTCGAGTTGTTTACCGAGCTCTTCAGGCTCTAAGCTCGTGTGCGCTTGTATCAGCCAGTTATGCCCTCGGTCCTAACATGCTTTTATCAGTCGACTGTGAAGTTTCTTACTGCGGTAGATAGCGGTTGTGAACCGGTGGGCTAAATCACTTAAAGTCAAGTAATCGAGTGTACTTAATTTAAGTTTAGCTCCAAAGTTGTTGGAAAGAGAGAGTTTAGTTCACCCACGTAACGAAATCGAACTTTTGGCAGAAATGACGTCATATCTTTTTATTTAGGTTCTAAATTGTTTATTTTATTACGCACTTTCTGTGCCAGTTTCACAGTTAGCATGGGCAGTCGGTTCATGAAACCACATGAACCTGGAAGAAATTTTTCAAATTCTTCGTTTTCGTTAAAGTCGAAATTCTTTCTATGGGAACGCCATCATTACAAAAGCCGAACTCGTCCACCAAAGACTTCCCCGTAGTAGTGTTCCAACAACACAGCTAGGGGAAGCAAACTCGGTAGCACGTCTACATTGTCCGCCGAAAGTGAAAGTGAGTCGTGGATTTATGTGTATCTGCCCGTTGACTAAAAGCCATCCGATACGTTGTCAAGCGTGACAGCTTGCAATCCCAAATTGCAGAACTCAAACATACCCATGGATTATCCTACCTCAAATTGACATCGTGATGCTCGGATGAACTTTCCATCTAGTGGCGCATCCTAGCGAGACATGTGGTTTAAAGCAAATCTTGTCCGTCCGTCTGGTCGAGCGTGACCCTACATTAGCGATAGGAGCTCCGCTCGGATATGCAGCTACCTTGACCACTTCCACCACTGAATTGAGTCGATGAGACTAGAGTGCGCTAGTGAACTATCTGGCATCCCGAATGTTGTCTATCCAGGCCATTGTGCTGCGAGGCTGCATTTCGTTGTCTTTCAGAGAATGGAGAAATATGACTTTCGGGCGTCTTATCACAAGTTGCATCATTTTATGTTATCGCTTTGGTACATAGCTGCGTTTTAAATTCAAACGGTAAAGTTCAGCTAGGCGTCATAGCGCGTCACCGCTTGTGGTATAGAATCACACTGTCTGACTTGGTAACGTCATCGAGAGCGTTCAGTAAATTCGTCAAATAAGCATAAGGATCGGATGTATATTTTATCCCTTGTTGAATCGATTTACTTGGGCATTCCAGCGGCATATAGCCTATGTGCACTTTTTTAGCGAGCAATGTATTTCAGCTCTTAGTGCATATAAACCTTACGCAGACGTAATCACTTCACAAATAGGTGGGATCACTACCTCACCTTAATTTTATTGGTCCTCAGGGTTGTCATCATTACCATCAGGTATTCCGACGAAAACCGAAGGATACAGAAAGCATTCTAACTCGTAACTCGAGGAGATTCTGGTCTCCTTCAGTCCATTAGTGCGTCCGGTTGTAATGGATCCTAATTTAAGCTGTTTCAATCCTGCTTGGCACGCTATCAGACACTGATTCAAACCAGAAGTCCAGGACATATATCTATTTGACTTGGAGGACTGGAGATTGACTTGTAATTTTAACTGCAGTTGACTTTTCTTAGATTTATGAGCTCTTACAAACCTAAAATGAAAATCGGCGAGAAAATATTCAGTTACAATCGTCGTCAGTTGTTTGCCCTACAAAGGGCAAACTTTTAGCGGATACTAAGCCACAGAAAAACAGTCGTATGATCAGTTGTGCCCACCAGTTCACGGCAGTGTCGGTTCGAGGCACAACAATGGTAGCATTCATTCGTAACCAGATAAATATCGAGGCCGTATGTTCCAGTTTCATTATCCTTATTTTGTAGTTCAACTGCAATATGCCTTCATGTGTGCTTTTATCAGTTTATCCTGCGCGAATTCAAGTCATGTAATCGAGTGGAGCCGGTTCATATGATCGGATAGTGCATCAGCAGTGCTTATGGCTTGGGGCGAGATGGCCCAAGTGGTTAGAGCGCGAATTTACTGACCGGAAGGTTCGTGTTTCGAATCCGACCTCCGCCACTCGACTTCCCTGTCTAGGCTTGGGCAACCTGGCAGTATCCCAGCCCTCGTGCTTCCTTCGGGTGGCATGGCAGCTAGGCACCGGAAGGGCGCTACAGCTGAACGCTTTTTTTATGGCGTCAGCACTCAATGTGACAATCAGCTCGTTGATCTATATGAACGATAAGCTATTTGTACACAGAAAAACTTGTTTCTTATGGCGATTCTATGTCTCGGGTTCTTCTGTATAGAGACCGATTCAAAGAGGAACGTAATGCTTTATGGAAAGTTGAAAGAAGCAGCTTCAAGGGCTAAGATGTTGTGGTCCAACATTTCGGATACCATGGGCAATCTTTCTCAAATATTTTTGCAGTCAATTGCGGACGACTTCATTCGGGTCCGTCATCACGTTCTTTGAATTGTGTTCTGAAGTCAAATGTTAGTTAGAAGCGATCAGTGTGCGTGCCTTTTTCTGCGTTTTGGCCAGAAACCGCTCCGATTTGTGTCGACTAATGTCGTGTGTGCGTCTTTTAGATCTCTATTCATCTGACGAGATGTGGAGTAAGTTCACCAAGCAGACGGAAATCCGTCTCCGTCACTACAGTTGTTAGTTCAGGTGATTACTTATCTCTAGTGTTTTCGTCCGGTAATCCGTTTATGTGCACCCGGTAGGCGTAACGCAAAATAGGCACTTCACGTACCTATGGATATATATATATCCTAAAAACAAGAGCTAAGATCCGAGTCGAGCCAAACACAGGACCGTGGGTTTTTTACAGACAGCGATTCCGGTGTAAGAATGCACATGAGCGCTACTTAAAAAACGCTTCGATGATACCAAATGGAGATATCGCCGTCATGTCTCATTGCTTGAGTCGTCGACGGGTAAAACTCTTTGAAAAATATGAAAAAGTAAAAGGACGATCCCTCTTGGCACATGCTACTTATCTGCAGTCGTGGTTTAGCTTTTGCCGCTACTTTCTGCATACTGGTTATGCTCAGTGGAATAATCGTGCAAGAATTACAGAATGGGTCCAATGCTCCCAATAAGCTCTGGAAGAGTAAAGTTCTGCCGGATGTATCAAAGTCATTCCTGAAGACTGCAAACGCCTTTGCTTCGATTGTCTAAGGCTCCAAATTTGATGCGTTAAGTAAGCAACTAGCAGCTTGATGCCCATTATCGACCTCCCCAACACTCTAAGCAAGACTGAATTGCATGGAGTAGGGCGGTATATTATTGGAACCACAAAAAGAGGTTTTTGATATGAGTATAATTCTGGTTGTTGTCCATGTGCGAATGTTGAGGAAATAGAAAACTGGTGAGGGAAATTCCATCGCAAAATACTTCAAAGTCAAAGTAAATGGTTTATCAGATCTACTGTGGTAGAGGTTCTTTTATTCTTCGTTCAGAGAAACCTTTTGTTTCGCTTTGTATGTTACCGTTGGATACTGCGGTAACGTGCGTATCTGCAAGCTTTGCTAGACTTACTGGCTTTAAACGCAAATGGTTGATTTGATATCCTCCAGGGAATTTTTCTGTCTTTTTTCACCTGAGATTAAGCATCTTCCAGAAGTTTGTATCATTTGAGTGCAAGATTAAATCCACAAAGATATCTTTGAGTCTGAAAACTTTGCGCTTATTAGTCGTGGTCACTGTTTTGTTCCTATACTTGTGTGCCTCTCCTTTATGCAAGTTTATTGAACGCATCAGGTGTGAAATTATCTGTATTGATGCATGAGGCCTACAGAGCACAACGTTATAAAAAATAAGATCACAGTCAGTCGGGGACGGTTTAAGTTAGGAGAGTTTGCACTCTGCTTGTGAGTACCATTTCTTAGTGTGTAACACGTGTCGGTCCTCGTCAATGAAGCAAGCCTTAGGAAGAATTCTGATCACTCAGTGGCAGACAGCAAGGGAGCCGTACGCCTTCAAGCATACTTAAGTAGGCCATCGGTACACCAACAGTCCTTATCTCGACTTTGGAGGTTCACCGTGTCTAGCAAACCGAAGTGTCACTTACCACACAGCACGATGCTTCTCCATTTTGCAGTTATTTGGCCCTAAAAGATTTTTGAAATCGGCCTTCAGAATCCCGTCAAGTAGACTCAGCTGACAGGAACACATTACTCCAACGATTCACCATGATTTCACGTTATCGTGTTGATCGGTTATAACGAACAAAGGTATACACACAACTCTCATTCTTCCCCCTCTTTTGTGCGGAACACCCAGAACAATCGTGCGCACTTCGAAACAGCGGAACTGTTCAGATTCCGCCAGTGCCGCCACTCTTCAAAATGGGGAACCCGTTAAGGCTGGTTAACAAGTCCTCATCCTGCGATCAATCTTTATGGCTGCCTCGCCTAAGCTACGCCTCTCGGACTGGCTGCTTACTCTCAGTGCTTCGGAAACCCTCTAAGAGGGGTTAAATAGTGCTCGTATCATCCGTTCGAGACTCCTCCTTCAGGACTTAACCATAACCATTCCACACCTTGAGGCATCATCTCATGTATGAGTAATCCAATAATCTATAGTGTAAACGTAGCATTCTTCCATCTTAGAAAACGGACCGCAAAGCGAAAGCGCGTTTTCAATGGGTTCCTCTCTGGACGTTACAGTTCATACAAATGACTGAATGTGATAAAAGTGAACCGATTACGGTAACGCAGACGTGGCGTGTACGAAAGATCTGTTAGTTCGGGCAAAGGTCATTTAATACAACTAATTGTTCAGGTAATGCGGAAGATATGGTCTTGTGTGTCCTATTATCAAATGAGGAGCGAGCTTTGAGCAAAATCGGCTGGCCAAAGTTCGGTTGTGAGGATTCGGGCGTAGTTGAATTGATAAACAACTATCACAGTCCACCAACGGCAGTTTGTCTTTATTGCACAGGCACAAAACAGATAAAGTTGAGAATAAGTACCGAAGCCACACTGAACGTAGATATTACCGCTGTAGGAATAATTCTGGTTAACACTTCGATCGTCAATATGGAAGTATTTCAGCAGCTGCAACCATACTTCGGTGCATAGCAGCGCCTTGTTAACGTGTTGCCTCAATTCACCCTTATGTGCACGTTGTAATGCTACTCAACCACCTGGGCATCGACAAAAGAATGTTGTGTCACCGATGATAGGTTTCCTGATTTTCTGAAACGGCATTAAAATGGTAGGATTTTTGTGTGAAAATCTAAGATTATTAAGTCCTTGTGCCATAAAGGGTTGGGCCCCGTCTGTCTAGTGTTCAGCGGAACAACTCTTGATTTTCTGGCGGCTGGGATACATGAGATCTAGACATGTTTTTTCACGTGGCTTGAAAACATTTCACAGACCCAGTGATGGACCCGTTTAATCTCTGGAATGAGGTCAGAATAGAGTAATGTTGACTTTCAATAGCTGCATACAAACCATTAATCACGTTTTGTTTGGCATTATTTGCTTTCAGTCGGATGCTTTTCAGGTCGCGGTCACAGCTACATACCGCATCAATTTCACTGGTTCGATATGGTCTGGAATTTTCTCTGACTAATCGCTCGGTTAAACGCGTGATATGTGATGTTGTATAGCCTGATGACTTCTGCTCCAAGTTCAAACGTTTCATGCCTCCCCATTACATTAGTGGTTTTCGAAACTGTGCCTGATAGGCAAAACTGCTGTTTCACACTAATTTCATGGTACGAGTTCTAGTTGAACCTCCCTTACTTAGATTCGTAGAATAGCTGTCGAAGTTCACTGGGTCAAACTGTTGAAGTTCCCTACTTAGCATTTGACTAAGCTAAGGGGAGAACAAAGTGTAATCTAACCAGTGCAACCTGTAAAGTTTTTACCAAAAATCATTCGAAACAAAACTCCGAATTTAACATTCTTCATCTAGTCCATGAAAATTCGTACTGATAGTAGGTGGCACGTGTGTAGTTGGTGCGTGTATGGATTGATGTCCTTGTGTTTGTACGGTCCGTCTTGCAGCATGGCCAGAAGCATGATTTCAATCAGAGACTCGTTTGTTCGCTAGTTCCAGAATAGCTTCGTCAAGTCCATATGCAACTCAGGTTATTATGGCCTCGTTAGTCTGTACACTAGTGAACTAAAGTGGTGCTCACGTGTGCCTCTGGTATGATGTCTTTGGCGCAACGGTTGTGATAGCCACCTGGTGGACGGTACTTTTTGTTTAGATTCACACGTTCCATCGATGACAGTTTGACTTTTGTGCTGTGTATAGCATTGGAGTACTCAACATCGTCAGCGTCTTAGTTGTTGTAAAGGGCTACAACCTCGTAATTTCTTATCTCCTTTAGTGGTTCTTTGGCTAAGTGACGGGGCCCGACGACTGCTATGTAGATTGGCTATGCTGGTGTCAGTATGCGTGAACTTCGATGCGAAAGAACTCCGAATGTTCAATGCATTCAATTCAGATGAATTGAAAACTCCATCTCACCTCCGTGATAGATGTTGAAAAACTTCCTGACATAATTGTAACTTCATCGTTCTCATCCTTGATACATATAGTGCGTCTCTTATCGGTCATCATCCCACCAGAAACAATGCCTCAGCCAAGAAAGATTTTGGAATTCCCCAGACGTATTTTCTCGTGGGATGAGTACACCGTGTCGTTTATTTTAACTGACTGCCGCGACTTCTTCCCTTTTGTCAGCTTATGGATGGACATATTCGAGACCTATCGCAAAAGTGACACTCCTTTCGTTTGCGTTGCAGCACCGATGGTTCGATTTTCAAAGTAAGTTCCTTTTGAACTGTCTTGGATCCAGTGAATTACCCGAACGCTGATGCTCATCTTCGTTTTACTGACCACCTTTTTGCCTACAGATTACCATTCCGCTTGTTGGTTCGTGAATATGGTGTGGACGTTGCTTGTACGCCGATGATTATGGCTGATTCGTTTGTACGGTCTGCGAAGGCACGAGAGACTGAATTTACAACGTGTCCAGGTAATATTTTCACCTGTCTCTCCGTGTTTCAGACCACTGCTTTTTTAAGCTGTTTTGAAGATAACTGCCATAGTCCAAACCATTCATCGGCATTATATATATATATATATATATATATATATATATATATATATAC